ATAGCAGAACTGTCTGAACCTCTGCAGGGAGGCTGCAGCGTTGGGGGGATTCCTTTGTGGGACAGTTTCAAGTTCCTTGACGGAGGAGTCTTCTTCCAGGCTGTTTGATGGAAGCCCTGCAGGTTCTAAGGAAACCTGGACCTGGGCTGCTGGTCTTAGGACTTCTGGCTCCTCACTGTGAACTTCTTTCCCATTTCTTTTGTCCCTGGGTTTCCTTCAATCTCCATTTTGGAATCCTGGGAAAGAATGTCTCTGATAATCAAGCATCTGAAGCCAGAAAAGGGGCATTAAAAACCTTAAAGGCCACGTTTATCAGGTGTCAAGTGGGTGTGTGGAGCCATTCTCAGCCTTTTTAGTGTTTTTTTTTTATATCTGGGGCTGATTTAGTGATAAATTGAGTAGATATGACAGTGGCCTTTGCCAGGGAGGTAGGTAATTGTACAGAGATTTAATGTCTGCAATAGTAAGTTGGTAGAGGGAAAGAAGGTTGCTAAAAAAATCTCAAGACAGAATGACTCATACTAATGTCCAGAAGAAAGTAAATCCTTCCTATGGGCAACGTTTATTTTTTTTCTGAACTCTAGCTAAAAAATTTAATTCCCAGGTTTCAGTAATGGGATTGATGGCCTCCCTCCTAAGCCTTTTACCACTCAACTCCTCATTAACTTTGACAAACAAGTAAGTACTCCTCCATTCCTTTCTAATGATCCCTGTATGCCCAACTCCACTACAGTAGAGACCTCCTGTCTAAACCTGGGGTTTCACTGGGGGTCAAGCGAACCTAGTTTGCCTGAGCAGCCTTTAGTTCTATCTCCCTTCACACTCCTTCCCTCTGAGCCCCTCTACACCACCTCTATCACCAGACATTGCCAACCCTGCCGTATGGGATCTTTCCACTCCATCTGTAGCCCCTCACCACCAATCTGTTCTTGTTACTCTGAAAGACCCCTCCTCTTTTCCTGCTAGACCCCAATACCCTATCTCCACACAACCGAGGTTTAAAAGCCATTATTACTTGCCTACTTTCCAATAAGCTTCTTATCCCCTAGTGTTCTCCTGTAATATGCTGATGATCTTTTTGTTGTGTAGCCCCTCACATCAACTTTCACAAACTCACACTGCTCAACTTAACTCTTGGCCTCCAAGGGATACAGGGTCTCCCCCTCCAAGGCCCAACTCTCTCTCCCCACAGTCATGCATCTCAACTGACCCCCACCACTAGGAGTTTAACGGCCGACTCATTGAAAGCCTCCAGCCACCACAAAATGCTGACCTCTTTTCTCAGCTTTATCAGTTTCCTTAGACACTAGATTCCCAACTTTTCCTTACTAGCAAAACCCCTTTATGATATGACAAAAGCCATCCCACAAGGACCCCTAGATTCACCCCAGATAGTTAAAAAGCTTTCCTCAAGCTCCAGCATCTCCTCTTATACAGTCCTAAACCCTCATGCTGCCATCTAAACCTTTCCATCTACACACTGATGAAAACGAAGGTATTGCTGTTGGCGTCTTGGCTCCACCCCTTGGACCTAAGCAGCTCGATGTCACCACCCAGGGGTGGCAACCCTGCTTACGATCCGTAGCAGGAGCAGCTCTCCTCACCAAAGATGCACTTAAGCACCCCGAGACGCCCCTGCAAGTCTTCTCGAGCCATGGACTTCGGGGCCTCCTGTCCCACCACTTCCTATGTAGACTTTCCCCCAGGCAGATACAGGAGCTCCATCTACTTTTTTCTCAAGAACCCTGATATTAGCACCTCTCAATCACTGTCCCTCAATTTGACCACCCTACTTCTAGTAACCATCTAGACATTATGACCATAGCTGCCCTGAAGTCCTTGAAGATATAAGCTCTTTACTTCTCTCCCTATCTGACCAGCCCATCCCTAATCCAGACCATATTCTGTTGACAGCAGCTTTGTACGACCTTACCACCTTACTGTTGGACAGCCTTTGCTGTAGTTTCCATAAACAAAGTGTGGAAAACTGCATCCTAGCAACATCTCGCTCATCATCCTTTCTAAGCCCCTTCAAGCTGATATACGGCTGATCATTCAACCATAACCTACCCACTGAACCCCCTCTTTTAGCATCATACCTTCCTTATCTTTCTGTCCTTAGATAATTACTCTGGGAACACACAGACCCCTGCATACCCAGACCTTCACCTGAAAGTCTAAACTAGACAGCTTCAGTTGCCCCAGGAGATGTTGTCCTCGTCCTCAAGCTAACCTCTTCAACCACACTAAGGCAGACCTCACACAGTCATCCTGACAATCCCTACACCAGCTAAGGTTATCAGTAACCCCCAATAGCACTACCTCTGCCAGGTCAAACATGCTCCTCTCACTGAGCACACCTCCTACACCTCTCAAATGATAGGCTCCACAACTCTTCACCTCACTCAAATCCCAAGCCCTAAGTAGCTCTTCGTATTCATATTGTTACGAATCACTTCCTGCGTTTTCAATTCTCACTTCACAGGATAAAAGAAATTACCAACTTAATAGTGAACCAGCTGCTGTGACATCCATATTCTCCCCTGGCTACTGATCCGTGCCAACGCAATCCAGCCTCTGAGTCCCAGATCTTTGCCCTGGTTCAGAAGGAAGTAGCTAGAATAAAGATACATGCCCTTTTTCTCACTAAAGAGGCTGGGATGTCAAGCCCTGACCAAGGTCAAAGCAGGAGAATAAAGGATTCAAAGAATATCAACATGTCAACAAAGGGAGTGAACAGCCTCCAGGTGAAATCATCCTTTCTTCCCTCCCTAAAGACCCTTACTATAATAACCTGCCCGACCCACCTTAGGACATGGTTTTCCTCTGGTCTGTCTTTCTCGCCAGACCAAGGAATGCTGCTGAGGGGCCCCCTTAATAAAACCTCTTTGAGTTAAAAAAAAAAGACTGACATATTTGCTTCTCAGTACTCTAGAAAGGTCCCTGCCAGCAGATTTTTTTTTT